TTGATGAGTGGGTGACCAACTCTTGACTTGGTAACAATCCTTATCTTCTCTTATCTGCCAAAATGTTATTAATAACATCAAAATTGGAGCCACTTGAAACATGAAAGTTATAGGAAATTATCTCAGATTTTTTATGTAAAAAATTTAGGTCATTTGAGCTTCTAGAACTCCAGATATGGGTCAAACACTGAACAGTGTTTACACTGTAGAATAGATTTGAACTTCTTCGTTGTTGCTACAATTTGGACTTGAAAATTGCCTTTTTAAATCTAGGACTCTGCATGAAAGTTGTAGGCCTATATCTTACCTTTCCATCCATATAAAGTAGACATCCATATAAATTGGACCTAAATCTGAGATCTGTAGCTCCAGATATGACCCAATTACCGAACAGTGTTCCGGTTTGGATTGCACCGACATCTCTTTTCTAAGTTTGGCCATCTCTTTATCCTTGCAATTTAAGTTCTTCAAGTCATCAATCAATCCTTTCATTTATGTGATAGGCCTGCATTAAAAATAGACATTTACCACAAATTATAGGTATCTTATATTATTAGATACATTATTATAAAACATATTTTAGTTAAGGAGTTATTGATACTTCAAGTGCAAAATAATAATATAAAACCTTGATAAAAATATATTTTTAAGTACTAATCAACTAATTGATGAGTGGGTGGCTAACTCTTGACTTGGTGACAATCTTATCTTCTCTTGTCTGAATAAAATGTCATTGATAATATCAAAATTTGAACCAAACCTCTACATGAAAGTTCTAGAAAATTGTCTCACTTTCTAGGAAAAAAAAGGTTGAGGTCATTTGGACTTTTAGAACTTAAGATATGAGCTAAACAGTATCTGGGCTGCAGGACAGATTGTGACTTCTTTGTTATTACTATAATTTAGACTTGAAAACGACCTTTTCAAAATTTTGACTCCGTGTGAAAGTTGTAGGCATATGTCTTACCTTTCCATCCATATAAATTAGATCTAAATCTGAGATCTACAGCTCCAGATATGACCCAAGTACTTAATAGTGTTCCAGTTCAAACTACATTAGCATCTCTTTTCTAAGTTTAGCCATCTGTTTGTCCTTTCAATTTCCATACTTAAACTCATCAATCAATCCTTTCATTTATGTGATAGGCCTGCATTAAAAATAGACATTTACCACAAATTATAGGTATCTTATATTATTAGATACATTATTATAAAACATATTTTAGTTAAGGAGTTATTGATATTTGAAGTGCAAAATGATGATATAAAACCATGATAAAAATGCACTTTTAAGTACTAATCAGTAGCTTACCTTAGATAGGATGTATATGGTGATACTTAACTTCTCAATTACATAACCAACCTCTTACCCAAGACTTTTGTACCTTAGTTAAGGTTTCTAGTTATTATAAAACTATGTGATGACTCTTTTTTTTTTTCTATTTTACCCCCTTTACATATATAACTCACCTTGGTGTCCACACGTAATAAAAAAAGTAAACCCAAAAAAAGAGTAGTTTTTGATATTGCCTAGATGGTTAGGATAAATTACTTTTATATTTTTGATATCAACATATTAAAATCATTTAAAACTGTTTTAGATTAGTGCTTTTTTTAGGTAACAAGCACTTTGAAAACACCAAATGACCTAGGATTGTAAGGTCCAACAGCGAGCCTTATCCTTTGGACTTTGTTTTGTGAATAATGTCAATACCTTGAATAACATACAAACTAGTTTAGGAAAACCATAGCATGTAAGCACATTAAAATGCATTTTAGCATTGAAAACATTAAATAATATAGCTTACCTTATGTAAGATGTCTTTCCTATTACATAATCAACCCTTTACTCAAGGTTTCTGATTAGTACTTAAAAATGTATTTTTATCAAGGTTTTATATCATCATTTTGCACTTGAAGTATCAATAACTCCTTAGCTATATTATGTTTTATAATAACATATCTAATAATATAAGATACCTTTAATTTATAGTAAATGTTCATCTTAAATGCAAGCCTATCACATAAATCAAGGGATTGATTAATGAGTTTAACTACTAAAATTGAGAAGAAAAAAAGAAGGCTAAGATTAAAAAAGATATGTTGGTTTAGTCCAAACTAGAACACCATTCGATTATTGGATCATAACTGAAGCTATAGAACTTGGGTTTAAGTCTGCTCTATATGGATGAAAAGCTAAGACATAAGCCTAAAAATTCCATAAGAGTCCAAGATTCCAAAATGTCGTTTTCAAGTTCAAATTGTTGTAACAACAGACGTTTTCAAGTTCAAATTGTTGTAACAATAGAGAAGTCTGAATCTGTCTTGTAGCCCAAATATTGTTCAGTATTCAGCCCATACCTTGAGTTCTAGAAGTCCAAATGCATCAATTTATTTTTTTGTTGGAAAGTTGAGATAATTTCCTAAAACTTTCATGAAGACAATCTATTCAAATTATGATGTTAACAATGACGTTTTATTCTGACAAAAAAATAAGGATTGTCATTAAGTTAAGATGTGGTCACCCACTCAACAATTAGTCAATAAATCAATAGTTTCAAATTTTGGCCTATAAAAGGAGGCATTTGTCATGCATTTAGACATCTTGGTTTTTAAATTACGATCATGTTCTTGCTCTCTTTCTTTATATTTTTGTAATGCTTAAGTTTTGTTTTCATTAATATCTTGTTTATGCATTTCATTTACTTTCCTTTACTTAATTAACTTATATTTTATTTTTGTTCTTATCTTGTTTATTTATGTTTCTCTCTTTTATTATGTTTAGTTAAGTTTATTATGTCAATATGAAAAAGTTACACTAATGGTATAAAAATAAGTATAGTATAAACTCAACATGAACCTTAATGTTTGATACTAACATGTTTTGTATTTGTTATTTTATTCACTTTTAATACTTTGCTTGTTAAATGGTTAATCTAGATTTATGTTGTATAACCCTTGGTACGACAAATATTTAGCACTTTCATAGCCCGACCGTATGACATAACCGACTCCTGTGCTCTGAAAGGAACTTGATTTGTTGTTAATTTAAGTTATACTTATGAATATTTGACAATATTTACAAGTATTAGCATTATTCAAATAAGATAACTAATGTAATCTTTATAATTCAATTGGAACCTCCTTTGTATATGGTTTCTAGTTAAGTAATAAAAAAAAAATTATATTAGCTATACTTGTTCAAAATACCATTAGTTAGTACATCCTCTAAACTTGATAATTATTTTATCCTTGTTTAATCCTTAAATTAATATCACATTTCAAAACTTTCTTTAACTCATTTTTTGTTATTACCTATTTCTTTATTTGTAGTTTATATAGTTAACCTCCCTGTGGTTCGACCCTAGTCTTATCAGCTTATTTATTACTTCGACACTGCTATACTTGAAAAAAAACATCAACTTTTTGGTCGTGTAAGTTTCTATTAATTAGTTACAATTCCTAGTTACTATAAAACGATGTGGTGATTTTTTATTTTTATTTTTATTTTGCCCCTTTTATAAGCTTAACTCGTCTCAATGTCCACATAACAAAAAAAAAAAAAGTAGACCTAAAAGAAAGAATAGTATTCTACATAACCTAGATGGTTAAGATAAAATAAATTTTATATTATCATATCAAAATCATCAAAAATTATTTAAAAATATTTGAAAATGTTTTTTAAAGATAAAAGATACTCGGAAAAACAGGTTGAGGAACAAAAACAAACACTCTTTCCAAAATTGGCATTTGCCTATCTTCGTCCTCATCGTTGTCTTTTTCCTTATCCTTTTTTTTTTATGGAATCCAGTCCCATCATTCACATCCAAAATTGGCATTTGCCTATCTTCGTCCTCATCGTTGTCTTTTTCCTTATCCTTTCTTTTTTATGGAATCCAGTCCCATCATTCACATCCTCTCCATCATCAGTCTGATTTAAAACTAAAATTTCTCATCAGAGTTCAAATATATAAATAATCATCTTCTTTCTATTGATTACTACCATAAGCTAGCATAACAAACAACATATTATTAAGTTATAAGGAGGCATACGGTTTAGGGAAAGGTATTACATGGATCGGGCTGTAGCCCAATAGTATTATTGACTGCTGCAGTGCAGACTTAGCTTGCTAAATTAAGATATTATTAAGACAACAGCAAATTGATATGTCACTCTGGATAAGCCTCGATAATAGATTGCAATGCTGGAATCTTGATGATTTTATAGCGAGGGAAGCCTCCTTCCTCTAATAATTTCTTCCATTCTTGCTCAGTTCTCTCCTTCCCACCCGAGGTCTGTGCAATCATCATTAAATCCATTACCATTCTTATATCATCAAATTGATCACGATAATCATCTGTTTGTAGAACTATATCAACTATGATAAGCTTTCCAGTTTTTTCAGGTATTGCTTTCTTGCAATTTCTCAAAATTTCAACGCCTGATTCATCGGTAAAACCATGCAGTATCCGCTGCAGAAATACAAAAGAAGAAAAGGAAAAATTAATGCTCAAGAAAAGGACATCTATCGTTGTTTTTTTGATGAATTATCTATCGTTGTATAATACTAATATGAGCCCCAATAAAATTTCTAATAGGGCACTGACCTGCATGTAAATAGCATCAGCATTAGGAATAGCCTCAAACATATTTCCTGCAACATGGGAAACTCCGTCATATTTTGGTGCTGTTGCTACAACATGTGGCAGATCTAAGTTTATTCCTTCAATGTGTGGGTAGGCCCTGACAATCTCTGCTACATGTCCTCCAATACCACCAGCAACATCCACCAATGATCTAATATTGTTGAAACCATCTTTGTATTGTGATAAACTTGCCGTCGTCACGATCTTTGATGTGCATGCCATGGCCTCATTGAAAATCCTGTTGACCTCAGGATTTCGAGACGCAAGATCCCACACTTCACAGCCATGAACCTTCGAGAAAGCGGTTCCACCTTCTTTCACACATTGGCTCAAGCAATGCCACGGTTCGAGGAACCATGGATGGTTTTGCATGATTATTAAAGAAGCGAGGCTTCGTTCAGAGTCATGCATTAGCAATCTTGATTTTTGATTCAGCCCAAAGAGTGTTTCTCCTCCATCTGATGGGGGGTGTGCAGTAAAAAATTCTTTTCTGACCAAATATCTCATGATACGAGCAAGATAAGACATGTCCGACCTAGGTGAGTTGATACCTGAAATCATGAAGGATAGAAGAAAAAACAAATCTGTATATTGCAACTTATATACAACAGATTTCTTTTTCGAAATTAATACTATATATGTTGTGCTTTGATGAGGCTAGGGATACCAATATAATTTTATCGTTTATGTATTAACATAAAAGATTTCGGATATTAATTTCAAACTCATTCTTTACATTGCATGAATATATTTATGCAAGCAAATAAAATGATTGAAGGAAGAGTTGAAACCTGAAGCTATTTGGGACAGAGAGATTGGACGACCGTGAGAATTTATTATATCTGCCAGTCCAAGCTCGATCGCACACTTTAGAGCCATGGAATCAGCGAAACGAAGCAAGAGTTGCGATATTTCAACTTCGCTTTTGAACAATGCCTCTACCTCTAGTGATGCCATTCTCAGTTTCTGTTTTTCCCAACAAGTCTAAGTTCACCCCCCAAAAGTATGTGAGATAATAGTTTGGATGGAAAATTTATAGACGTGGACGGCAGGTAAAATGCAATTTAGTTTTTAATTTTGGTTATTATTGTAGTATAAGTATAATTGTAGTTGCTGCACCTCACATCGCGGTAAGCTTTAAAATTTTATGGGAAGAAAATAAAGACCTAGCATCTAGTTTTCAGAGAAAAAAAGTTCTGATTTAAGAAGTGCACTCCTATTATTATAATGGTTAGAAATCCTAACCCATTAATAAAGATTTTATAATATAAAACTAATTATATATAAAAAAATATTATTATTTTTTAAACATTTTATGAGATAAGTTATATTACTGATTTTGTTTTAAATTATTAAGAGTTTATTTTATTCTGTTTTTTATGGTTTTTTCTTAAATTAATAAGAATTGTTTTTATTTTGTCTTGATGGTCTGCTTATAATATTTCTGACTTTAATATCAGTAAATATTGGAGTATGAATACTTCCAACTTTGATGCTGGTAAATATTACATAAACAAAAAAACATGATATTTTTGACTCTTGAATTAGTAAAAAATCAATAAGATTTGGATTGAAGTCAATAAATATTGGAGTATGAATATTTTCAACTTTGATACTGATAAATATTACATAAACAAAAGAACATGGTATTCTTGACTCTTGAACTAGTAAAAAATCAATAAGATTTGGATTGAAAGCAAAAACATTGTTTTATTTTTTTATTTTTAAAGAAAAAAAAAACAAACATGCATGGCATACTAAATTTATATTTTACAATATAAATCGACAACTCAATATAAGTAAATTCATCAACACACTGAGAGACCCACAAATAAAGTTGAGAGGGTCTCTAAATTTTTTTGAAATTAATTGATATTTTAAAAGGGCTGTTTGGCTAGGTGTCAAAAATAATAAAAAGTAAAAACAGGAAAAAGGGTATGAGAATGTGTTTTGTCAAATACTTATTTTCGTCCCTTGTTCTGGCCCTTTGTCTAGCTTTTACAAGGCCAACCTCCTAGTTATTCATCAACAACCGTCTCTTCTCTCCTAGGATAGCAATCCTAAGGATGAATAAACATGGTTGTGCGTGTTTTATGGGTTGAAGACACCAACAATCTTGCATGTCATGGGTGAAGGAGACTGGATTGATCGTGGGATTTGTGGCAGACCATTTGGTCTACATTGTAGCTTGGATTGAGATGATGGGGTCTAGCAGAGGCCAATGTTTTTTTCCGTTCAACTAGCTTCCTCTGTTCCAAGGAGGAAAAGGGGCAGACCATTTGGTCTGCATTCTAGCTTGGATTGAGATGATGGGGTCTAGCAGAGGCAAATGTTTTTTTGCGTTCAACTAGCTTCCTCTGTTCCAAGGAGGAAAAGGATGAACAATACTCCTTGGAACTACGTCGTTTCTTTGGCTAAAATGGGTATATTCATTTTACTCCCCTGAAGTTCTGATATTTAGCAATTGGACTCTTATTTTTGAAAATCTTTTTCTTTTTTAATTCGCTCCTAGATCAATTCCAATTGGACCCCTGGATTTCAACATCATTTACATAATAGTCCTTTGTTTCAAGCTTAATCAATCTAGCCCTTAATTAACTTCTCAACTTTTAATTCTTTCAAAATTACCTTTGAAAAAATCAATTAACCCCCTATAGTATCACTGTATATTTACTTCGATCGTTGAACTTTAATTTCTTGTAATATTGTTCTAAATTGACTTCAAACTTTGGAATTTTTTTAATTAAGCCCATGATTGTATTAATTAAACTAATTTCAAGTTTAATTAACTCCATAAATTTATCAATTCTCCCAAGTTTTGGCCAAATTGACTTTCAAATTTATAATTTCCTCCTTATTAGTCTCTCAACCTTCAATTTGTGTTGTCTTGATTTAATTCTCAAATAATTTTTCATTCATCATTTTTTTATTAATGTTTTTTTTTTGAAAATTTAAAAAATTGAGTTATGACTGTATTAATTGAAGATTAGAAGTTGAATTAGGCTGCATTAAATTTGTGGGCATTGGCTATTTGTTGCCTAACGGTATCTAATTTATATACAAAATTAAATGGACAATTAAGAATTGTGCTGCAGTAAATTTGTGGGCATAGGCTATTTGTTGCCTAACGGTATCTAATTTATATAGAAAATTAAATGGACAATTAATTTTCAACTTGTACTCCGATACATTAAGTTTTTTAGCTTTAGAATAATATCAACTACGAGGTTAATTGAATATTAGGAGTTGAAAAAAGAAAACTACCAAAAAAAATGTTAACCATTTATTTTTTGACATGTGTTAAAATAAATAATAAAAAAGAAAATTACCAAAACAAATGTTAACCATTTATTTTCTTAGAAAAATTTATTATGGCCAAGCTAAAAAATGAAGAGAAAAATCTATTTTGTGTAATTTAGTTTTTGCTATGTTTAGCACAAAAAACAAAAAAATATTTTGCATGTTTTAGCATTGTAGAAAACGTGTTTTTCATTTGGCAAAAGAAAATTAAAATATTTGGAAAAAAATGTGTTTTTCATTTGCAAAAGAAAATTGTATTTTTATTAGCTTATATTTTTTTGGGTTTGATAACAAGTTTATCAAGTCCAATAAAAACTTGACCCAAATAAAAACTTAACCCAAATAAAATGAACTTTGAGCCTACTTATAAAAAGAAAAACAAAATCATCTTTGTAGATAATATTATCAAATGACAAGAGTTTTGAATAAAATAACATATGAGTAAATTTACAGAAACTATAGTAATGATAATTTCATCTAAAAAGATATGTTAAGAGTAGTGTTTACTTTTTCTAAAACATAACCAATTTATTACTTAAATTTTTGAGACTAGTGTTAAAAATTTAGAATCTCTAATTCCTTTAAATTTCTAAGTAGCGAATTCAAATCTCTCATTTTCCACGTATTTTTCAAAACCCAATAATCCAAAATCCTCGAGCCATCACAACATTCACGTTTTCATAGCCTATTGATATATCCCCAAAGCAGACTCTTTTATAGCTTTTATAACCTACCAAGAAAAAGTCTTTTGTTTTGGTTCGACTAGTACTCATATATGAAAGAGGGGATGGTATTAATTTAGAAAGACTTTTTCTATTGGATTTATTGCAGGAAAAAGAGAATCTGAAACTTTGAATTATCAATTATATTTTTAATGGAAATGGTAAACCAATTCAGGAAATGTCTAACACAAGTATTCAATTAGTTTGTACTTGTTTAATGTTGAATTGGAACCAAGACAAAAAAGGGTTCTTCTATCAAAAAGGCTCGTGTTTATTTTATTGAAGTAATTATATATGGTCTAATTCGTGATTTTCTAAGAATCCACTTAGGGAAATCACGCATTTCCTATATCAACAGAAAAGGGAACGATCCATCAGGTTAGGGATTGATCTCTATCTTCTCTATCTACTGAATAATGAATAGGGAGTCTGCTTTAAAATTGTTTGTCCTGAAACCACCCCCGAGTTTATGTCTTCAATAGGAATTACACAAGGGTAGATTGATACAATATAAATCTTTGAAAAATGCCCTCCTGTAACCCAACAGACAAAGTATATTACATAGTTCATTTTAGGGATTGGGGACTTAACTATTAAGTGACTTTAGCACTGGATGTTATGTTCCCAGAATAAAATGCATACTATTGGGTCAATAAAATGCATACTATTGGGTCAGGTGAATTCAATAATAGAAGTTTGTTGGCATTCCATTCTTCCTTCTCTTTCTCCTTTCAAGCTTATCCAAAAAAGAATCTAGTACTTTTTTTTCATGAATATCTAAATAGGATGAACCACCTCGTGGGTATCTTTTCTTCGCAACAAAAGAATCAGAATTAGGACTGGTCAACTGGAAGGTGTATATTATCCATATAGGGGATCTTCCAATTAAAAAGATCCATCGACATGAGATGAAGAGAAGGTTCTAACTCCATGTATGAATATGGAATGTCTAAAATATGTATGAACGGAGGAATAAATAAAATTTTGATTTTCTACTTAAATTGAAATTTACAACATATACAACTGGAAAAGAATTGAGAAATTATCATCAAAGCATTCTTCAGTCCAAACGACATTAGAAGAAATTCAAAATGTTCATAGCGAGTCCTAAATGCAATCTTCTAACTATCTTTCTCCTTAATCTATAATAAGTAGCATCTTGATCTTAAGTCTATCTTTGAAAACATTATGGCACCTTTCAATTGATCAAATAATTCATTTATCCTAGACAATGGATACTTATTCTTCATCATCACCCTATTTAGCTTCTTATAATCAATACAAAGTCTAAGGGTGCAATACTTCTTTTTAACAAATAAAATTAGGGTTCCCTAAGGTGAATTTCTCTAGCATATCAACAATTTATCAAGGTTAGAGATAATAATAATAGTAGTAGTGGTAGTAATACTGTAATAATAATAATAATAATAATAATAATAATAATAATAAAGAAGAAGATGATGATGATGAGAACTTTGAGATGGAATATTAACGTAAAGATTTAACAATGATAATAACAAATGTCAAGGTTAGAGATTCCACTAATGGTATGTCAAATAAGTATAATATAAACTCTTATCATTCAATTGGAAACCACACATAAAGGAGGTTTCAATCAGATTATAGATTGTTAACATGATTACATTAGTCATCTTATTCGATTAATGCTAATACTTGTAAATCTCATCAAGCATTCATGATTATAACTTATGTTAACAACAAATCAAGTTCCTTTCATAGCTCAGGTGTCAGTTATACCATACAGTATGAACTATGAAAGTGCCAAGCATTTGTTGTACCAAGTGTTATACAACATAAATCAAGATTAGTTATTTAACAAGCAAAGTATTAAAGAGAGAACAAAATAACAAATAGAAAACATGTTAGTATCAAACATTAAAGTCCATATTAAGTTTACATTATACTTATTCTTACACCATTAGTGTAACCTTTTCACCTTGACA